TCTCTCTCTCTCTCTCTCTCTCTCTCAACACATTTGAGATTTAGGGAGAGAGAGAGAGAGTTTATTCAATTTGATTTCACACCCACTTTATACTCGTATGCTTTTTAAGTAACTATTATTTTTGTTGGCCTAAAAATATGTGCCTATAAAGTGCTATAAAAACAAAAGTTAATCTTCACTTTAAGTGTCGATAAATTCATTGTATTCATAATGGATTGGGAATGACAGTGAGAATGGTGCCAAATGTCGGGCACCGGTAGCCTTTATGTTATCCATTGTCCTACAGACTTATAATTCTGTGATTCTGTAACTTATTGTACCGATTCTGTCAGTAATATATATGAGTTACTAATTATTTGTTTTGCTATTTTCAACGGTCAGTTGCACCGCAAGTAACCTTATTGATGGGCACCAGTACTAAGCCGACTGTCCCTCATATCAGTGAAGGCGATGAGGTGTTCATGAAGTGCCAAATCAATGCCAATCCGCACACATATGTCATCCAATTCTTCTTCAATGGCACACAAATTGTCGACAATTCTGACGGTAATTATCATTTGCTACCAATTCTTATGTACAGTACTACTGGTCTGCATGGTCTGCATGAATTGAGCAATGTCATTTTTATGCATCAATTACTACAAGCTTATTAGTGCAACTACGGTAGTTAAATTATTATCAACTAAAATACAATTAAATTCTAACTTACTATAGCTAACAATATTTTGTTTCTATTTACTCCCGTTCCCATATTCTACAAAAAAAACTTTATACCTGTCCACCACCTTATATTATACGTACACGTGTCACCATGGTCATTCATTGGACACTACAGGGGTGTTCATTAATAACTCAAGTCTTGTGATCAAAAGCGTGCGCCGACACCACTCGGGACGCTACCAGTGCTTCGCTAATAACTCGGAAGGAAGGGGTGATAGCAACGAGTTATCCATATTTGTCACCTGTAAGTAGAAATATAGCTATTATTTTGAGATTTAGATATGTTTTTAGGTTTTTTAAAATATAAGTCAAAAATTCTGAAATAAAAATAAAATTTTTATATTAAATTAGAAACGAAAGTATTGCCGAAAAAAAGATGAGTTTTGTATGAAAAATATTTTTGTTGTTTTGTTGTCTCTGGTGTTGTTGTGAATGCATAACAGAATATGTATTGGAAATCAAATTATTGAATATTTTTTGGAGAATATTCTGTAGTTTCTATTTATTGAATACTTTTTTCAATGACTACAACAAAGTTAATATAAGATTTTGTTATTTCACAAATTTAATAGGTACTAGCTATAATAATTTGGAGAATATAACTCATTAAATATCATATTTTGAAGGATTAGTTACATTTTGCAATACAAAATTTGTGAATTTTACTTATTTGATACTTTTCATGTATTCAATAAATGTATTTTTATATTGAATATGACTTTTGTTGGAAACGAGAAATGATAAAAAATAAAAATAATAAAATAAATAGAAATTTCTATTCGACTAAATCCCGGGAATATTGAAATATTGAATGTGAACAGGGATATATGAAGTTATTGAACTTTTATGTGGAAATAATTTTACAATATTATATAAAACAAAATATTGATATATTTTTTGAGCAAAATACTGCTAATAATAATAATATTTTTTTAAAAAGTTTTTTTTGTGTTTAAAATTGTAATTACATAAAATCATTTGTAAAAAACTTTTATCAATAACATTGGTGATTACAATTGGAAATACAGGCTAAATTAGAAATATTTTTCAAATAATTATACTTTTTATTGATAGTACTGTTTTAACAAGCTAATATTGATAAAATATAAAGTTGTTTCCCTTTAAAAACTGTAATTAAACATATTTGTTATTTATGATAGGGTTTTATAATTACTTTGTATTATGAATGTTGGACATTTGCGACACTCTCGGAATATTATCAATGTTAAATTACTTTTTTAATTAATATTTTTAAACACAACTTTTAATAACTTAAAAACATTTATAAATACCTATCGCACATACCATTCACATACCCGCCTATATGTCATACCCTTAAGCGCTTGTTTATGCTTAAGACTGTAATTAAATATTTTTGAAATTTTTAACCTACTTTTACCATTGGTCATTTGATAAAACCGACCCTGTACAACCGGATGAACCAATAATTGTATCAGGAACATCAATAATTTTAATACATACAGTGCTGTACTTAAACATAAAAAATAATAACTATAACATAAAAATATCTTATCTAGATAAATTAAAAATATTTTAAACAAAAAATAACAAAATAATTATCACCTAAACCTCATACACCAATCTCCATAGACGCGCCGGTATGTCAGACCCATAAGCGGGTGTTTGGGGCGGCGTTGGGCGAGAAGGTGAAGATCCAGTGCCGGGTGGGCGCCGAACCCCCGGACGTGGCGTTCCAGTGGACGGTCAACAACAACGAGCTGTTGGGTAGCTTCCAGTCCTTCGGGTTGGAGTCGACCCTAACATTCGTACCGAAAACCAAACGCGACTTCGGAGTTGTGGCCTGTCGTGCGAAAAACGGCGCCGGCGTTCAGCGCGACCCCTGCGTCTTCTCGGTGGTCGCCGCCGGCATCCCGTCCCCCGTCACCGGCTGTCTGGTCGTCAACCAGACCTCGTCGTCGATACTCATCGACTGTATTAGCGGTGATGACGGAGGACTGGAACAGGCTTTCCATTTGGAGCTGTATGAGGGCTACGGACAGCGCCGTATGGTTTCCAATCACAGTCAGAAGCATAGGGCTGAGTTCAAGCTAACCGGCCTCTCGTCGGGTACGCAGTATTTGGCGGTTATATACGCGTCTAATGGGAAGGGCAGGAGTGCGCCCATTGAGCTAACGGTGCCCACACTGGCGCTACTTAACCGCAAATTTGGTAATTATTTTGAATGCAATTCTTAAAGAATATTCTGTGATTCTGTTATTCATATTGAAAATTAATACTACAGTAGCGGACAGTCCGCACACCGACGATATTAGTATAGTGTTGGCGGCGGCGTTAGGCATGGGATTAGTGTTACTACTGGTGCTCACGATTTCGGCCATTATATGCAAAATACGGGCAAATCATAGGCGAAAGGAGTCGTCGGAAAAGCACTGCAGAGACCGGCGATTGAGTGCTAAGTAAGTCATTGAGAGTTAATTAGTAGTACACTTAAATAGTATTGTATTTTATATCAAATAACTTTATCTCTCTCTCTCTCTCTCTCTCACTCACTCACTCACTCACACTCTCCCGACACCAGTAGTGATGACATGTATGGCACGAATGGGTCTAAAGAAGACTTGACTGAAATGCTGGACTCGACGGACGGCCGCAAGAATCCGGACGTAATTCCGCCGATTGATGGCTACTCTGTGGCCATAATGGCCGACAAAGAGACTACCGGTGCTGTCATTGTGGCGACCGATGCCGAGTCTGGGCTCCCATTTCATCAACAAATACAACAAATTCATAGCATTAGTAGTAATCATAGGAATACGCAATCGATTGGCAATTATGTGAGAATTCATTCATTACTTGAGTTAACGTTGCGTTCAATGAATACACGTTTGAATCGATTGATGACTCAAATTAATACTAAATAATAGTTTCAATTAAAATTTTACTAAATTATTGATTGATTTGTGCATGGTATATTTTTATATAAACACCATATTACAGTAACGTTAGTATTCAGTAATTTGTTATATACAGTATTAAACATTTAATAACTTATTATTTAATCAATAGAAAATAAAAGTTTATAAAAAATTCTATAGTTTTATATTTTTATGCTTAACGTATTGTACATTATTATTCACTGGATTAAAATTAACTTGATAATAATTTTTCTGCACACAGACTGATAAACAAAATGCAATATATCCGGGAACCGACCAAATCGTGTTCACCACCTTAACGCCCGACCCTATCGTCAACTTTATTAACGTTAGTATTCAGTCATTAAATATAAATTGTATTAATTTTAATGAAATTATATTTTCAATAGTCATCTAACCGACCAAATCGTGTTCACCACCTTAACGCCCGACCCTATCGTCAACTTTATTAACGTTAGTATTCAGTCATTAAATATAAATTGTATTAATTTTAATGAAATTATATTTTCAATAGTCATCGGCGACGGCACCGGCAGATGAGACCAAAACACTGCACCGGCAAAGGGTGTTCCCCCTCTCGACTCCCGTTTGATAGGAATATAATATATTTTTGAGACAAAAACGACTGGAAATATATGCTATTTATGACACAATTTACTAATAAAATAGTGCCTTAATGTATACTTAATACGAGTGTACAGGTCAATTTAAATATTAATGATGAATATAATAGTCGCTGCAAAATAAGGGACTGAATATAGCAAATGTGTGCAAAGGGACTGGTATTGTGAGGGCACCTGGAGTTTTATATAACAATTGTTATCATTAAAGTTATTTGATGTTTATTTTAAAACATTTTTAGATGTGATTATTTTTTATCAAAAGATTTATCCATTTATTTATTAAATATTACATTCTATACTAGATTACCTAGGTTAATAAATTGTAATAGTTAGCAAAATCATGGCTTACATCCAGGTTCATTTGCAAACATTTGCTGTATTCCTGTTCAGTACGAGTCTTATGTATTCCGGGAATCCATGAGAGGGTTATTTAGAGCACAATATTATTAT